GCAATTGGAGGAGGAGGAACCGAAGTGGGGGGTGGCCTGGGGCGAGGAGGCCAAAGCAGACAAAGGCCTTGAGTGGCATAGCGATATGGTCTGCCCGAAGCCACCTGACCTTCAAGAGATCCGACATTTCTGTAAGTCTTTCAAGAGAGCTACTATTGCCGCAGACGGATTTCACTCCAGGCAGTTTCACCTCCTGTGCGACGGGGCGCCCCCTGTTTTCAGCCAGGTCGTGGGCCCGATGACGGTGCTAGAGCCCCCCCCCTCCTGGACGCGGAAGCTGATAGTGGTTTTGTTTCGCAGACCTGTGTCTGGAAGGCGGCCGATAGGGTTTTTACCAGTCGGCTGTCAGGTTGGTTTCGCGCTGGAACTCCAGGGCCTGTAAACTTCGGGGGCACTCGGTTCAGGACCATGGGATGTTCAGTGTGAGAACTGGCAGATTGCCGACGGGCACGGTGTGGAGGCAGCAAGTTCGAGGAGACTTAGCAACCAGTGGGAAGATGCACGTTTCGAGTTCACTCGCTGACCAGACAGTGCTATGAGCATGTTCAACACCCGCAGCCGGTGCGGAGTGCGATCGAGTGGCACGACCCTTTGCACGCACTCAGGTTCGCCATACGTACATATGGGTGGGAGCGCATGCTGGACATGGATAGGGTTATGTCCAAGGGCATCAAGCCACATCAGGGCATTGTAGCGGGGAGCAGCACGGCAACATTTGACATGAAAGTCTATTGCAGACCTACACTACATGCATACCTGCAGTCGGGTTGTAGTTCAGAGTTGGCGATTCATGTAGACGATCTCAGCTTGAACGAACGGTGCGCGGACATGGTCCAGTGCGTCGTCAATTTGGCGTCTGCGTGGCTTTCCTGATTGACCAGTTCGCCCAGCTGTTTAATATGACCTCCGCTGTGAAGAAGTACTGTATCACAGGCACCAGTGAGCAGCTGGTCACAGCAGCCAAGGCCTCACTCAGCCAGTACGCTGGGGAGTATGAGGTTTCTTCGGTGAACCTAGAGGTGGATCACGCCCCTGGGAAGCGCCGAAAACACCGACATGCGAAACGCAAGCGATGGGACCGCCTTTCCGCCCAACGATCCCGACTTTCGAAGATCAAGAGCTTCCGAAACTCCAAGCGATCGAAAGCGAAGCTGTGATTCTGCGGGATCAAACCTGCTTCGACCTCCTACGGGGAGGAGGAAGTAGGTTGGAAGCCTCATGAGCTTCGACGGTTACGTTCCCAGGCGGCTGGCTTTTTAGGCCTTTACGAGCTGCGGAGCAGACCTTAACTTGGCTTTTGCCTTGGAGCCGAGCAAGGACCCGCCACGGCAGGCACGAGCAATTTTAACGCGCTATGCAAAAGAGTTTTGGTTGGCCTCGGACCCGAACCTGAAACCGGGAGACTGCCTCAGCGCTGGGGCTTTCCAGGGTGTTGAATGCCACGATTGAATTCCAGAAGAGCAAACCAACGGGGTCCTGGGACTACCTTTCCCGAGGCCCGATTGGGAACATGCTGCTCTGGCTTCGTAAGGCGGCATGGCCGGTTCGGGGTCATGGCATGATTATTATGACAAATGGGTCACCGTGTGTTTTGACGAAGATCCCTTTCGCCCAGATGCGCAGTTATTTCGCGAAGGACATAGGCACGGAGTTAGTGGCCAATAGCATGAGCAAACATGTCGGACCCAGGGGGCATCCCAGTGCTGCTGAGATTTTGGGGAGGGACTCTGGTTTGAACTTCCTCAGGACATCTGGAACGGACATCGACTTAGAAATATCCGAAGAAATACCAAACAGATATTTACGATGAGCTACGTCACGGACAGCCACCTGCACAGGTGGCGATAACAGGTGGAGCTTCTCTTTTTTTTGCAGGACCCCCGGGGGAGGAGCCATCGACGGAGCGTGTCACCGCGCTTTCGAGCGCACGCACTTCGCACTGAAGCGTGCAGAGTGCATGCCCACGGAGTGGGCCGAGGCAGAATTGGAGGCAAGCGAACCCGATCTTTGTTTCAGCAGCCTTCGGCTACCGACCCCACATCAAATATAGGGGCCCCTCTGGGAAGGTCGAGTTTTTTTACGCGGCCCCAGAGGGGCCAGAGGGGAGGAGAAGTTCCACCAAGAAAGATTACATGCATTATGATGGTTCGCGTTCTGGTGGGAAATATGAGTTGGTGGCGAGCTAGAGCGGGATGGGCGGTGGTATCGGTGAACAAGGAGGGAATATTCCAATATGTCGTTTACGGAAACGTTCTAGGGTTTCTGTTTCAGTCTGCGGTCTTTGGCGAGTGTCACAGATCCCCGCTGGCCCTGCCCCACCCCCCACCCATCGGATTTTGATGACATCGACCCCGATACACCATCCACGTCGACTGTAAGAGCCTTTTTGTTTGTCCAGGACGTTTACCAGGCCACGTCTGGTCACAGCCGGCTGGCAGAAGTTTGGCGGTCCATGTTTTCCCGCGAGCTTCCAGAGCGGAGGCTCCAGAAGGTGAAGAGTGACGTGAGTGAACAGCTCAGCGGAGTGGTTCGGAGACATCAAAAAGGGAACGACAAGGCAGATGAGTTTGCTCAGGACGGAGCCAAGCTACACCCAGGAGCCCTAGAGAACATATTCAGGTACGAGGTGATGCTAGATGGGCGGAGCGAGGTGGCACTAGGCATGGACAGGATGTTTTATGACGCCCCGAGAGCCCAAGAGCTCTTTCGGAAGCGGGACACATTTATTTCGGATGTGTTGGCGCCGACCGTGCCCCACAGCAGCGTGTCCCACCGTGTGCTTTGGAACGGCTGTCGTTGGCGGTGCGTCAGATGTGCCAAGTGTTCCTCTACGAAACAACCTGAGAGCAAGTGCGCGTCGTTGACGGCATCTCTGCTTCAGATCCGGAGCCTAGTTTTCACGCCGCCCTATTCTTTGTACGTTTGTCGTGTGATCGAGACGGGCCTGCCGATTATGTTGTGCATGAAGTGTGGGGCCTACACCTTTGGGAAGCCTAGAGCGTTGGGAAGCCCCTGCAGAAAGGTCCTCGCGGCTCAGCGGAGGCAGTTGTTCAGTGGCAGGCTGCCCTGGCCAAAGGGTCAGCACGTCTCTTCCCCTGGCCACTGGAGCACCCTGAGGAAGGAAGCGAGTGGTGGGCCAGGATGTGTGTGTGTGTTGTCTTTCTTCTCCCCAGCCCCGTTCGAGCCTGGCATGGAGGGGTTGATGAGAGAACCATTAGGAAAAGGCCAGCTCGACGCATCAACGAGCTCCTGTACCCGCAGACGTGCCAGAATTGGCTGTGGAAAACTCAACCCACGCGACGGCTCCCGACTGGCAGAGGACGACTTCCTAAGTGCGCTAGGCGGCCGCCTCGGCGCCGCGCAGGTCCAAGGCGACGACGTGCAGTCTGCGATCTGTGGCGAGCCGCTGGACAGCGCCGCCGCTCACTCCGCCTGCTGCGCCCCCGCCGAGAGTACGCGGGGCCACCACGCAGTGGTGCCCTCCCCGGCCGACGGCGTGGCGCTGGCAGACCCGTCTTTGCGCACAGAGGTTCGCGGCCTCGTCTCTTCGGGAGAGAGACCTGCCGACATCCTGACAGCGGGGGCGCTCCCAGGGGTCCGCACCGTCATCGACGTCACCATAGCGGCCCTGGACGCGCTACATGCAGGCACGGGCGCCTGTGTTGCCGCCTGCAGGCGGAAGATGATTCGTTGGACGGCGTCGTCTTTCAGCCTGTCGTGTGGTCAGCGGAGGGGCGTCCGCATCCTGCCGCAGCGCGCGTCATCGACTGCACGGTGCGCATGGTACGAACGAGGCGGGGATTGGAGGCCGCAGCGGAGCTGCAAGCCTGATGGCGGCATGAAGTGGCAATAGCGCTACAGCGGCGCTAAGCCGCCATGGTGAGGGCGGTCCTGCCGCCCCGGGGGCAGCGCCAGGAGTGGCTGGCACGCGGAGGGCGGCTGGCAGCGGGCGACGACGCCAGGCTGCCGACGCTGGAGGAAGAGGAGGCGGAGGCGGAGGCGGACGAGGCAGGCCGAGGGGGCCAGTAACGTGGCGGCGGGCAGCGCCGTAGCCGAACGGATCCGTTTCTGAATTAGTTTTCAAGCGCCCCTCGTTGTTATCTCTTCCCTCGTCCCTCCCTCCGGCGGTTTACCTGCCCATTTTGCGGTGGGCCGCGCACCGAGTCCGTGACAGCGACACTGCTGCTGTCGTCGTGCATCGTGTTTGCGGCCGTCATTCGTGACATGTTCATTGCACGTCTCCGCTCTCGTTTTGGAGGGCAGTCTTGGAGGACATATCGTTGCGCCCCGGGGTGGTAACATCGCCTAAGCCCCGCATTGTGTGCGCTTCGTGCTCCGCCCCTTCCGTCCTCCTCCTTTTCCTCCTCCTCCTCCTCTTCCTCCTCCTCCTCCTCTTCCTCCTCCTCCTCCTTCTCCTCTCCCCTCCTCCTCCTCTCCCCTCCTCCCCTTCTCCCCTCCCTCCTGTCCCCCCTCGGCGCTGTGTGTAGGGGATATCCTTGGCTGTTCGGGCTTCGGGGGTGATCCACATGCATGCAGATCAGCTGCACTGTCGATTTGTTGTCCAGGCCACGGTTCATTGCAAGAGTTTGCCCATTGAGGTCGGTTTGTGCGGTGTTCCCCGCTTGCCTAACGATTGTTTGATTCGCGATGCAGTTGTGCCAACTTTTGCTTTTGCCATTGAAGATCGAATTGCCAGCGACACAAACCATTCGTGCCCTGCGAATCATTCGCGCCGTGCGAATGACAGTCTGGTGTGACGACCGCGTGGGCGGCGTGGCCACCTCATCGGTGCATGGTGTCGACAGCTTGCCTGCATTGGGAAGAGAGACATGCATGGAGAGGGGGAGAAAGTGGCAAGGATCGATGTACATATGATAAATATAGAGAGAGGGAGAGGGAGAAGGAGAAGAGGGAGAGAGGGTGGTCTGGGGGAGAGACAGACACACAGCGAGAGAGGGAGGGAGGGAAGATAGGCAGTCTCAAGCCCAGCGGGGGCACAGGTGGCGGCGAGCCAGATGGCCCCAAGGCCCGCGGGGCCCGCCGGGGAAAAGGATGGGCCCGTTCGAGAGAAGAGGGAGGACGAAGAAGAAGCGTAAGCAGGGCTACGGAGGAGGAGAAGAGCGAAGATGACGTTGGCGACGAAATGAAGGGATGATCCGCCGCCGAGGAAGAGGATCAGCCGCGCACCAGGAGATATAGGGAGAAGGAGAAGGGTTAGCAGCGGTAACAGGACTACCAAGGAGGAGAAGGGCGACGATGACGCTGGAGACGAAGTTGAGGGGGCGTTGATGATGATGATGATGATGATGGTGATGATGGTGGTGATGATGGTGATGGTGATGGTGACGGTGACGGTGATGGTGATGGTGATGGTGATGGTGATGGTGATGGTGATGGTGATGGTGATGATGATGATGATGATGATGATGATGATGATGATGATAATGATGATGGTGATGGTGATGGTGATGGTGATGGTGATGGTGATGAGTGGCGGTGACAGTGATGGTGACGATGATGGTGGTGATGATGATGATGGTGTTGGTGGTGATAGTGCTGGTGCTAAAAATGATGGTTATGTTTATGTTGGTGGTGGTGGTGATGATGGTAATGGTGATGGTGAATGTGGTGGTGATGGTGATGGGTATGATGACGGTGAAGGTGATAGTGCTGATAATGGTGTTTTGCATCGTGCGCCAGTGGCTCCTGGAAGTGTATTAGCAGGTCTTGGATGGCAGATGTGTTTGTGTTAGACAGCGTGGACCCAAAACAGTGTGTTTCTAGCAATCGATGTGTTGCAACCAATGTGGTGCAGTCTATGTGGTGTATTCTATGGGGTGCAAGCTATGTGGTGCGATCGATATGGTGCAATGTATGTGGTGTAGGCTGTCTGGTGTAAGCTACGAGGTGCAATCTATGTGGTGTAACCCACCATTGCTTAACTTGAGGTTTTCCACGCTACTGCTCGCGCAAACATCCCACCCACCCACCCGCAACTTGGTTTGCAAACCCCATGCGGCGGCAATTGCGATGAGTGCTTGGCGCTGGCTGGTGCATGTCTGCTGCCGCGACAACCCGCGCATGCACGCGCGCGCAGCGGCCAGCTAGTTTGGCGCGACCGACGCAGCCGCGGTGGTGCTAACCGCTGGGCACATCCCAGCAGGCAGTTCCATTTTGCGCAATGAATTATCGCGACGGCACGTGCGCAAGGGCGTTCAAACGATTTTGACATGTGCGCGCGAAGCCCTTTTTGGTAGCATGTTCTGACAATGTTGGAAACTTATGCATTTCTTTTAACAACAAAAAATCGCGAGAGCTCGCGCGCAAGCTTTTTTTGAAAACCCGTGTTGCGAAACCATGCGTTTTACGTGTTTACTGGACACTCGATTTTGAAATCCGTGCGAAACCGAAGGTTTTCGAAAGGATTCCGGCATGCGCGCGCGACGACGTGCGCGTGTGCATTTTGTGACGTTTCTTACGCACGGGGCTGTGAAAACTGATGACGTTTTATAGACGAGCGTGCGCGCATAGTTTTCTGTTGCAGAGGATGGTGGTGGGGGGGGGCGGGTACCGGCTCGGATGGGATGGTACGAATTGGCGCAGAAAACGTGGCACAATTATTGCGGTGCAGTCATTGTAGTGCACTCTACGTGTTGCAATCCACCAATGCTCAACTTGAAGTTGTCCATCCCACCCACCCACCCGCAACTTGGTTTGCAAACCCCATGCCGTGGCGATTGCGATGAGTGTTGGGCGCTGGCTGGTGCGTCTCTGCGGCCGCGACAGCCCGCGCATGCACGCGCGCGCAGCGGCCAGTTAGTTTGGCGCGACCGACGCAGACGCGGTAGCGCTGACCGCTGGGCACATCCCAGCGGGCAGTTCACTGCGAGTCGGCGATTTGGGCGCGAGCGGTACCATTGACACGTCTACAACGGTACACACGGTGATGATATTGGCGATGCTGGCGACGATGCTGACAGCGACGGCGGCACGGCCACTGACGGCTCGGATGCTGATCACGCCGACGACGATGACGGCGTCCTCGCGTCGGCGATGAAGGTTTTGGAAAGAATTCGACATGCGCGCGCGGCCGACGCGCAAGATTGGTCGGCATGGTACGATGTGACACGGATCGTGCCCCCCCATCGCGCGCGCAAAAGCACACGAATGCTTTCGACATGCGGCGCCAGGGGCCCGTTTGGCAGAACTACATGATTTTTGTTTTTTATATAAAAAACATTGAGTTTTCTGAAGAAGTCATAAGAGCGCGAGCGCACGCTGTTTCGAAAATTGGCGGTGCGAAGCCTTATGCGTTGATAAGTGTGTTGGACATCCGGTTTTTTCAGTCCTAACGACACCTACGGTTTCTGAAAGATTCCGGCATGCGCACGCGACATCTTCGCCCCCGCGCGCAGTTCGTCCCAGATCGTGCACGCGCGCAGGGGAATTCAAACGATTTCGACATGCGCGCGCGATGCCCATTCGGTAGCACCTGACACTGCTGACAAAACTCGTGGTCTTCGTAAGATGTCGCGAGAGCGCGCGCGCAAGCTTTATTTGGAAATCCGTTTTGCGAAACCCTGTGTTTTTTATATGTTGTTTAGACACTCGGTTTTGAAACCCGTACGAACCCGAAAGTGTTCGAAGGATTTCGGCATGCGCGCGCGACGACGCGCTGAATGCGCATGTCGTCACGTTGTTCGCAAGGGGTTCTTGGAAACTGATGATTTTTGATAAACGAGTGCGCGCGATTTATTTTTTGTTGCCGAGGATGGCGGGGGGAGCGAGACCGCCCCCCCTGGGATGGCGCAAATTCGCATTTAGCACGCACGATGGGGCATAATCATATGTACATTGCAACACGAAAAGGGGATGTGATAATCCCGGGGGGGTGACTTCATTCAGTGTTTAGAATAGAGAATCCATGTGGCACAAGCTGTGCAGTGCAGTCTTGTGGCGACGAGTCGGCGGCGAGGCGGCGACGGCGGCGACGCAGCCGCCGCGCCAAGTTTCAGGCCCAGGCGACGGGCGGCGACGAGGCGGCGACGAGGCGGCGACGGCGGTGACGCAGCCGCCTCGCCAAGCTTCAGGCCCAGACGACGAGGCGGCGACGCGGCGGCGACGGCGGCGACGATAGCCGCCAGGCCAAGCTTCGGGCCCAGACGACGAGCGGCGACGAGGCGAGGACGGGGCGGGCGACGGCGGAGACATGGCCGCCAGACCGAGTTTGAGGCCCAGCTCCGTAGAGCAGAAGTAGACACCCCCGAGTGCAAGCACTGTTTGGGAGTCCGTATGTGTACAACCGTGCTGCTGGCAGACGGCAGTTGTGTGCAGTGCTGTGGACCCCCGGCAGCCTGGGCAGAATTTGAGAAGCGGCGCACGATCGAATTAAACCGAAGGCGTTCTGCATTGACAGGGACACATGACCGAGCTGTAGAGGCGACATGCATCAGCGGCGGATCCAACCGATTGGCTCGAGAGTTGCAATTTGACGGAGTGGTGAAGAAATCTCACACACGTAAACTAAGATCCAGCTCGCACGCGCCATTGCCACTTTTCGCTTCCAGTGACAAGGCCCATCACCAACAAGAGCGTTGTCAATTGATCAGATTGCGCAAGTACTCATGCAGCTCGCGCTCGAGAAACGTAGCGAGAGCAGTCCCCTGCTTTCGGTCCATTCCCGAGCCCTACGAGAGACCATACGGAAGACCACGAGCCACTGACTCCAGATCCGGAGGACCTCACACGTACCTTGAAACATGATGTAGGACCCTTACAAGCTAAGTGCAGAAAGAGAGACAGAGAGAGATAGAGAGAGAGAGAGAGAGAGCTAGATGAGCCACATACGTACGCATATGTATATTCATGGGTACGCATATTCCTGTAAGTGTGCCTGCGCATGTGTGTGCGCGCGCGTGTGTCCGAGTGAGAGCACCCACGGTTACGTGATTCTGGCAATCGTCTCTCGGCCGTGATGTCTCGGTGGCGCCAGGCTTACCCAGAGGCACGCAGGGCAGGTTGAGGAAGAGGAGGGGGAGCACGAGGAGGAAGGGGAGGAACGGAGAGGAGGAAGAGGAGCAGGAGGAGCAGGCGCTCAGGGCAGGTGGCGCGTAGGCGGGCTTGGGCGGCTCCTGACAGGTGGTCGCGCCCAGGCTGCGCACGGAGCCCTTCACGGCGGCACTCTCTCATGGGGCGTGGGGGTTGGCATCAGATGGAAAGCCTTTCTCCCGCCGTTCCCACTCTCTCCATCACCCTCACCCATCCCGGCCACCCCTCCCAATCCCGCTATCCTTCCCGCTCCCCCTGCTCTCTCGCTCCCTCTCCCCCCCTCTTTCCTTCCCCTCTCACCACCCTGGACATCCAGCTTCCCCTCCCTACCCCTTGCCCCCTCTCCCTTCCGCCACCCATCCCCCCGCCCATCCAGTGCATGAAAGCAGTGGTGGCCGTCCTGGCTCTGAACGGCAGCCACAGTTTTTTTGATCCACGGGTCGAGAGCGCACCTCTTCCGGTCGAAGCTAAGCGGGCCGCGCGAAGCTTGAATTAACAAAGAGAGGGGGAAGGGAAGGAGCGCAGCCTCACTGCGAGGCCAGGAGGAGGCAAAGCCTCGGGATCAGGCGGTGCCGAAAACGACGTGCTTGCAAAGGGACGCCTTGTACAGGAACCCGGTGGCAAAGTACCGGCAGAAGCAAAATGCTCTGGTTGGTGGGGCAGCCTGCCGCACGGAGGCCCCCAGGGCGCCCTCGGCCATCCGAAGCCCGTCGAAGCTTGCAAGGTTTCGGGCTATGCACTTGGCATCGCTCGGACGTGTGCATTTTTCCTTCGGCGGGCCATCGAGGAGCATCCTTGATCATTTGGCGAAAAAACCACGCACGAAACCGAAAAAAAACACAGGGAATGGACGTCCGAGCGATGGCGAGATGCACAGCGGGACCCTCCCAGGCAGCCCCGGCTGGAGCAGCCCAGGGCAGTCTCAGCACCCCAAACCTTGGGGCGCTGCGCGCCCCACGGGCGCCGAGGCCAGCCAGGACTCCTCCGGGGGCCGGGGGGGGGCCTCTGGAGGCCAGCTGGGCCTCTCCCCGGTGAGGACCTTCTGCACGCAGCCCGAAGCCTTACCAGCCGGAGCCCTCCAGGGCCCCATCGAGGGGCCCGTGCCCTGCTCCGCTCCCTTCCTGCCACCGCCAGATGGTTCGGGGGGTGGCCCCGCGGCCACACGTGGGGCAGCCGAGGCCCGCTCCGCGCCGAGACGCGGGTTCTCTGCCGTTCCCGTCGAGTCGCGGTTGTGGAAGGTGGCGGTTGTGACGCCCGCTGGGCGCCCCAAAGCGCTAAAATGGAGGAGGGATGAGCAGGAGGAGGAGGAGGAGGAGCAGGAGGAGGAGGAGGAGGAGGAAGAGGAGGAAGAGGAGGGGAGGAGTGGAAAAGGAACCAAAAGTCAGGGACCAGGACCGAGAAACGACGAGGGACGAGAAACGACGGACGAGGGACGAGGGACGAGGGACGAGGGAGAAGGGAGAAGGGAAGAGGGAGGAGGAGGGAGGACTCTCTTTGGACTCAGTCTGGCATTGCACCAACTGTATGCCGTCACGTCGCTGATGCAGCGGGACGAGGTACCACGCACTCCTAGCTACCACAATAAAGTTGCACGCGTGCGTCCTCGCTTGCGGAGGCCGATGTGTAATACCTTCCCGCAAGCGGTGGTTGCCGCGAGAGTGGCGAAGGAGGAGGTGAAATGGAGGGAAGTGAATGGGGCCGCAGCGATATCAAGACTCTCACCTACAGCCAGAGGCGGCAGCTAACGCTGAGACGTGCACGCGCCTGCAAGCAGAGGCCACAATAGGGCTGCCCTCTGACTGATATGCGGATGACGGTGTGGTCAAGCTTTCCTCCGCAAGGCAGCTAGAGTCCGTCAACGTGTGTCTGAGTAGGCAGGGAGGAGGGAGGAGGGAGGGACGGGGGAGGAAGGGAGGGAGGGAGGGAGGGAGAGGAGGAGGAGGAGGAGGAGGAAGAGGAGGAGGAGGAGGAGGAGGAGGAGATGGCAGGAGCGACAGCAGCAGCAGCAGCAGCAGCAGCAGGATGAGTGGAAGGAGCCGTGCAGGAGAGGTGGAGCAAGCGCAGATGTTGGCAGCAAGCGAAGGGGGAGGTGAGCAATTCCCGTTGGGGAAGGGCGCGGCCCGAGCTTTTCTTTTCGTATGTTATCCATTTCTGTGCACTGCGTGGTTGCGGATGTCCGTCGTTTGCCCAATTGTTCGGCCCCCCCGCTGTCCTTTCGCCCTCCGCCCCCCCCCCCCTGTCGGGCGCGCCTGCTCGTCGGCCCTTTGGGGAGGGGGCAATCGGGGGTCGAGCGCTTGATGTACGTGGGCTCGCCTTCCTCGCCCCCTCCTCTCTCCCCGCCACCTCCCCCTCCTCTTCCTACTGCTCCCCCTCGCCCTCCCCGCCCACATTCCTCCGTCCGACGTCGCGGCGCCGTTCTTGTCCCGCAGGCGGCGCAGCCGCCGAGGAAGGGGAGGGGCGGGGCGAAGGAGGGCGCGCGCAGAGACGATGAGCAAGACGGACGCTGGAGGCTGGCCAGTGGAGCGGGGAGGACGCGACACGTGGCGGCACGGGGGAAGATGGGGGGACGGGAGAGAGAGGGGGAGGAAGGGAACGGGTATGAGGGCGACGGCAGCGAACGCGCGGAGCGAAGAGGAGGGCGAGTGCGAGGGCGAAGGCGGGGGGGGGCAGGGGAGGGAAGGAGAGGAGGAGCAGGAGGGAGGAAAAGGGGGGGAGAGGAGGCTGCTCCAAAATGCACCTAGCCCGAAGCAGCTATGGAAGTATGGCCAGGAGGCACGCGACAGTGCGCGTCAGTTGCGCTGGCCGCAACCCAGCATGGATAATCATAATCCCCTATACTTAATTACACAGTCGTGCCTGTTTTCTGGCGTCGGCCGGCAAAACATATTACAAGGCTCACGCTTCAGGTCGATTAGCAAGCCGAAAGAATCGGCCACTTACGCACATCTTTCAAGCTGGGCCTTCTGTGGCGGCCTGGCCGCAAGAGTGGTCACAGAAATGCGTTGTTCGGGATGTGAGTTCGGCGCTGGGTATGCCAGGGTTTCACCTATGCTGTGGCCCGTGGTCGTCTATATTTTCCCTCCGCCCCTCTCCCTCAGTCGTTGGCAAACTGCATTGTGTTCAGCAGAACCAACAAAATAATCGAAAACATCGTCTGATCTGCATCATCGCCCCCCTCGCAGGCGGCGATAACTGGCGCCGCCAGCCAACGTCCATTGGAGCCGCTGGGCATCCGAAGCGAGGCAAGCTGTCCCCTTCCCCCCTCAGCATGCTCCAGCCATGAGGGCAGAGACGCTTGCTTGCAGCTTGGGCGTTGCCACGTCGGGTTGGGCGGGGGGGTGAACTCAGGATTCGGCTGCCCTGGGGATGGCTCTGGCGCACTAAGAAGCCTCAGGGTATTGCAAGAGAAAGAGAGAGAGAGAGAGAGAGAGAGAGAGAGAGACCCAGGACCGAAATCCATGCCGAGAGTACTCCCGCTGGGTGTACAAAGTCGAGTTGACATTACACACACACACACACACACACACGCACACACACACACACAACAACAACAACAACAACAACAACAACAACAACAACAACAACAACAACAACAACAACAACAACAGCAGCAGCAGCAACAACAACAACAATAAGATTAAGACTGATCGGTCTTACTGGCACGCGTGTCTTGCATTCCGTATACCCCAACCCTCGATACCCGCCCACGTCTTCTTCGATTGCACCCCCTTTCGGGGGGAATCTCTTCCTTGCCGGCCACTGACTGAAGTGCGAAGAAGCCTCGAGCGAGAGCGCCGTTCCTGAGTTCGGGGGCCTTCTTGGCCAGGGGCTCGCGGAGTAAATCGTGAGGAAGCATCGAGCGGGAACCCTTGTCGTCGTGGCTGGGCCTCCGCCAACTTAATTGAATTGCGAGGAAGTCTCGAGCGACAGCGCCGTTCCTGAATTCGGGGGCCTCTCTGGCCAGGGTGTCTCGGGGTAAATTGTGAGGAAATATCGAGCGGGAGCCGTTGATGTCGTAGCTGGGCCTCCAAGGGCATCTAGGGTCAAGCCAACGCTCGAGCGGAAGCCTCGTTTTCAGAGAAAATGTAGCCGGCGTCGAGGCGAGAGCGCGCAGAACTTTTTCTGGAGATCAGCAATACTTATCATTTAGAAAGGAGAATTCAACAACAACAACAACAACAACAACAACAACAACAACAACAACAACAACAACAACAACAACAACAACACCAACAACCACAACAACAACAACCACAACAACAACAACAATCATTGTAAGACTGTTCACCCTTATCTGCGCGAGTGTCCAATAACGCCTATTTCCCAAACCCTCGATACCCGCCCTCTTCGTCTTCGATCGAACCCCTTTTGGGGGGTATACCTTTCTTCCCTGCAGGCCGGGCCCCGGACGACGACGTCGAAGACGACGGCGACGACGGTGACGACGAGCGAAAGCGGGAGCGAGAGAGAACGACAGCAGGGCCACGAAGGGCACGAAGTAGGCCACGAAGGGCGACAGCGGGGACACGAAGGGAATGCGTATGGGGCCACGAAGAGTGCGAACGAGCGGGGGCCACGAAGTGCAGAGAATGCGGGGCCACAGAAGGCAACTATGGGGCCACTGGGGGTAGCAGCTGGGCCACGTAGGACAATGAGGGGGACACAAATGGCGACAGCGGGGCCACGAAGGGCACGCACGTGGGGCCACAACGGGCGCGACTCCTGGGCGCCTGGGTGTCGGGAGCGCGGCGCTTGGGCAAATTTTAAGAAATTCCAGCGCAAGGCTATTCTTCAGTAAGTTGCAAGCAAGTCTCCAGCGAGAGCGCGACTCCAGAGCTCCGGGAAAGCGATTCTTTAATAAATTATAAGGAAGTCCCAAGCGAGAGCGCGATTCCTGAATAAAATGCGAGGAAGTCTCGGGCGGGAGCGGGGGTCCTGCCTAAATTGTAAGGAAGTCTCAGGCGGGAGCCGTTGTTGTTGTAACCCGGGGGCCAAGGGCCCAGTTTGAGCAGGAAGATTTTCCCTGTCAATAAACAGGGTGCGAGCGTCGAGGGGCACACTTTGATTGAGAAAAAACAGTCTGCACCTGTGGGGGGGGGATCAAGAGTAATTATTCTTCAGAAATGAACATTTAACAACAACAACAACAACAACAACAACAACAACAACAACAACAACAACAACAACAACAACAACAACAATTACTAGCACGTGGGGACACTCCGTTCTCACCAGTGCCAGGGTTTTCATAGGAGGCGGGCAATACCCCCACTTTGTGGGGGGGCCGGTTCAAGCTCTACCAAATTTCCAAACGACTCTTCGCCACCACCCACACCCAGCTTCCCGCCCTATGACGTTCGGACACTTCACTTCGTGGCATGCGGACGACCGTGGCTACTATTCAGGGCCCCGCGGCCGACGACGACGGCGTGCGCGCGCGAAGAAAAAACGAATGTGTCCCGCATGGTATTATTTGACAGGGATGATGGCCCTGGCAGGTGCGCAACCGTTGTTGCAGGAGTTCGAAAAAGTTGCTCGCAAAAGCCCTTTTGACAGAAATGTTAAAAAAGTGTTGGGTTTCCTACGAATCCGCAAGAGCGCGCGGGATAGAATGTTCACAACTTTTGTTTGAAAAAACATTGGGTTTTTGATGTTTTTATGTTAAAATCGCTACGAAAACTAGGGTTTTGGAAGGATTTCGTCTTGCGCGCGCGAATGTGCATTTTGTGTCATTTTTTGCAATGGATTCCTGAAGTTTGGCTATGTTAGAACAAGAAATGTCATTTTATATTGTTTTTTGCAAGGGAAAGCGGGGGGGAACAAAACAACCGGATCTGGATCACATCGTTTTGTCAAGGGCTTTCGCTCGAAAATGATGAAAATGTGGCTGCGGCCTAGGCGCGGCGGGGGGGGCGCGCACCAGGGGCCCCAACAATAATTATTCTTTAGAATAATAATGTTCAACAACAACAACAACAATTACTAGCACGTGGGGACACTCCGTTCTCACCAGTGCCAGGGTTTTCATAGGACGCCGCCAATACCCCCACTTTGTGGGGGGGCCGGTTCAAGCTCTACCAAATTTCCAAACGACTCTTCGCCACCACCCACACCCAGCTTCCCGCCCTATGACGTTCGGACACTTCACTTCGTGGCCTGCGGACGACCGTGGCTACTACACTGGCGCATGGGTACAGTGACTTGTTGTGGTAACATTTTCTGGACGCTACCTTAGTATACGACTTTTCCCCCTGTTCCAACACTGGACACCTGTACTGGTTTTTGGTGGTAACGTGTTCCTGACGCTGGAATAGGAAACCACGGTAAACCAGTACGACGCCGGTACTGTCTGTAGGTCCTACAATGATATGGACTGCTTTGGCTGGTGAGGCGCTAGCGTCTGATACAACGTTTTTCCGTTTCTGTACCACGCAAGCGAAGACACTTATTTTGAGTGGTACCACGTGGGTGGCGCAAGCACGTGAAAAAGTTGCTCGCAAAAGCCCGTTTGACAGAAATGTTTAAAAAGTGTTAGGTTTCCTACAAATGCGCAAGAGCGCGCGGGATGAAATTTTGACACTTTTTTTTTGGAAAGCCATTGGTTGTTTGATGTTTTTATGTTAAAATCGCTACGAACACTAAGGTTTTGGAAGGATTTCGTCTTGCGCGCGCGAATGTCCACTTTACCTTATTTTTTGCAAGGGATTCTTGAAGTTTGGTTATGTTAGAACAAGAAATGTCCACTTTGCCTTATTTTTTGCAAGGGAAAACCGCCCGTAACAAAACAACCGGATCCGGACCAACCCGTTTTGCCGGAGACTTCCTCACGAAAATGATGAAAACATGGCTGCGGCCTAGGCGCGGCGAGGGGGCCGTGCACCAGGGGCCCCAACAATAATTATTCTTTAGAAGTAATAATGTTCAACAACAACAACAATCATTTTACCCTCATGCGCCATGCTTCCACATGACACATGCATCCATCTGGATAACACACCCCATCATGGGGGATTTTTCTGGCATGCGGGATCCGATATTCCCTCACCCAGATATCCCGCCCAAGAAGGTTTGGCCACCACCTCTTCCGAGGAACTTCAACATCCATAGCTCGGACGGCACATCGCCTTCGCAATCGCCTTGCGCATGCCCCGCATCTCAGAGGGAGAGGAAGAGGAAGAGGAGGGGGAGATGAGAGAGATAGGGAGGGGGAGGAGGAGAAGGGAGGGGGAGGAGGGGGAGGAAGGATGAGTAGTTGTAGTAGCAGCAGTTGATGATATTGTTGTTGCGGCTGTAGCACTAGTAGTAGTGGTAACGGTAGTAGTAGTCCAAGTAAGTAGAACTGGCTTGTGGCAGCCAAGCGTTCATAGCGACGTTGCTTTTTGATCCTCCTTTAATGTCTTCTCTCCCTATCCTTGAGACGCAGAAGTTTCAAAAAGTTGGATGGTTCAGCACATCCAGGAAACCTATCGCTGGACCGGCCCAGATATGGTTCCAGAAGCGGCTCGGGAAGCTGCGCAGGCGCCAGAAGCAGAGAAGCACCACGTACGGGCGCTGGCTCGGGCGTCCGGACCAAAGCCGCTCCAGAATCGGCCCAGGACGGCTTCCCGGGCGCCGCAAGCAGAAATTCAGCATTTTCGAAAGAAAAATGTGTATTGGAATGGCCTCTTTTCGGCGCGATCGGAACTGCCCGGGCGTCCGGCCCGGGAGCCGGGCCGGGTGCCGGCCGGGCCGGGTGCCGGCCCGAGCTCCGGAATCGGCCCGGACGGCTCCCGGGCGCCGGAAGCAGAAATTCAGCATTTTCGAAAGAAAAATGTGTATTGGAATGGCCTTTTTTCGGCGCCGCCTCGGAACTCGATTTTCCGGCGCCCGGGCGCCGGCTCGGGCGCCGACCCGGGCGTCCGGCCCGGGAGCCGGGCCGGGTGCCGGCCCGAGCTCCGGAATCGGCCCGGACGGCTTCCCGGGCGCCGGAAGCAGAAATTCAGCATTTTCGAAAGAAAAATGTGTATTGGAATGGCCTTTTTTCGGCGCCGCCTCGGAACTCGATTTTCCGGCGCCCGGGCGCCGGCTCGGGCGCCGACCCGGGCGTCCGGCCCGGGAGCCGGGCCGGGTGCCGGCCCGAGCTCCGGAATCGGCCCGGACGGCTCCCGGGCGCCGGAAGCAGAAATTCAGCATTTTCGAAAGAAAAATGTGTATTGGAATGGCCTTTTTTCGGCGCCGCCTCGGAACTCGATTTTCCGGCGCT